CCGTAGAGCAGCATAAGGCCCTTACCCTGCCCAGGGCGTGAAGAACCGACATTCATTTATTCAATATTAAAATAAGTTGTTAGATAGGAATCGGCGAAGTAGGTGGAGGTTACGAATACGTATCACCCCACCCTTACACGAAAACCGTGAAGGCTTCACGAGAAACCATAGCCTGTACGTACGCCACCGAAGAACGCCATGCGTTGACAAGAGCGGGCAAACAAATACATTCAATGTGTCAGGGGCCCTCGCTACAGAAAACATCGTCAAATAGGTGCAACAGGCCGAACCTCAAGGAGGACATAAAGCCTTGCTAAGAATTTCATCCACCAACGAAGGGATGAAACCCAATAGAACAAGAAAGACTAACCCGAAACCCCCCTTACCCTTAAGAACCCTCGGCAAGGATTAGGAGTCAAGACCTAGGGGTTTGACCCATTAAACCGACTGGGTCCAGACTTCTGGACATCCGAGGGGAACGTGCACGGAAACCATCACGAGAATTCCCCTGGAAGCCATAAAGACGAAGGGGACTTCGACACGGGAAGAGAAGATCAAACGAAAATCTTAGAATCAAACAAAGCCAAGGAAAAAGGATCACCAGTTCGACTGCACGCCACAACCAAGCCCCAAACAGGCATAATCACTCGAAGCCAAGAGTCATTAGCCCATTTCCCTCCCCTTGCCAATCAAGTACCATTTCGTTAAAGAATCCGTCCTATCACTCCAAACCTCGCTCTTGATCCCTCATTACAGACAAACCCGTACAAGGTGGCAACCTACCTTCCTGTATTACGACCTTGAGACATCGACCCTATCCGCCCCTCGACTTTGAAACCTAGCCCTTGCACTTCTTACACCCCTTTAAACCTAGACCAAGAAAACATAGATATATATATATATATGTATATCTACCTCTAGAACTCGTGCTTAAGGATCAATGAACATTGTACGATGGGTCATCCGATGTATCCAAGTCCCTTTTATTGTGCACAAGGGAATAGGACATGTCAGGACATGAATCTGTGCATTTTTGGGGCCTTTCCCGAAGGAATTGACTATTCCTAGTCACTTTCCCGCGTGTCCCCAACGGGTCCTTGACGGGACCTTGGCGGGTCCTTGGCAGGAGCTTGGCAGGCGGACGACCGCCCACCTCGCGCCCACTGGTACAATGTGCTGATTTCTTAACCCCTCATTTTATTGATTTGTGGCGCACTTGTGTTCCTCGATTGAGGAATGTGAGTCTTGGGTAAGGAACCATGGACCACCCAAACATAGTGTCCTACGTAAAAGACCTTGACGCACGAGACACCATCGGGAAATCACAATCAATTACATTGCACGAGTAATTGAAATCGGATCCTACGATACAACCGACTAGGGATGTTTGGCGTAAAGGATTGCGCAAACCAAGGAGGCGAGTTGGGAACTCGTACTAAGAACCCACGAAAACCTTAAAAGTCAAAATGCTAAGGAGGGACCGGGACTCCTCCAAACCATGGACATCGTTCGAGCAAATCAGAGGACTCCTTACAAGTTGTATGGAATCAAGAACTACGTAGCCCATGGTGCTAAGAGGGTGAAGAACACATTCGCGCCAAGACTTCAAGGGTCATTAAGGACCCACAAGGAAATGAGGTGACTCGTAAAGTCGCCGAGTCATCCCACAACGACATTTGGTAACCGACTGCGCTTTAAAAGGAAAAGGGCACGCAAGGACACCTTCATCATTAAAAATAACACAAACAGGGCACAACAATACCGAACCTCGGGTAAGACATGAAGTCTTACTAAGAATTTCTTCCACTAAAGAGGAGATGAAATTCAATAAGAAGAGAAATTCAACCCAAAGTCCATCGACTCCCAAGAGACTTTGGGAAGAATTTGGGAAGTGCGCCCTAAGAGATTGGCTTGGTTGACCCAACTCGGTCAAGACCTTGGGCGCATTAAAGAAGTAAGTGTTGAATCACCACGGGAAATTCCCTCAAGAAAGAAGAGAAGGATGAAATCTTAGCCTGGGAAGCAAGGTCTAACAAGGATCTTAAAGTCAAGCAAGCACCAACACCAAGGAAGGAGGATCATCAGCTCGTCGGCGCATCGTGACCAAAGCATCTAACTAGATTATTCACTTCGGATCGAGAAACCTTAACCCATCCTAGCCGAATTCCTTTCCCTCCCTCGAAAAATCGGACCCTTCCTTATTTCAAAACCCTTTCTACCCTTCAGACCCCATTCTCAATCCCATGTTTTAACGATTCCATACAAGTGGCAACCTCACAACCTAAGTTGCAACCTCGAAAACTTGATCCTAATTCCTGATTTCACCGTATCCTCAAGTTTGAAACCCACTCTCTTAGCCCTGTAAACCTAATCGTTTCCAAAAACCCAACACACATAGGTGTGCAAGTATACAGTTTCCCCGTGGAATACTTTCTCTATAGGACCACGGTTGTTCTCTTGACTCGTTAACCCTGCAATGATTTCCAAGCTTCGGGGACGAAGCTTCTCGTAAGGGGGGGAGAGTGTAACACCCCGTGTTACGGCCTTCAATCCCGGATTAAATATTTAATTCATCCCGTTAATAATAATTAAATATGATATAATTATGTTAGGTTTACCTTTAATTAATTAGTAAGGTCCACCATGAACCGTGGACCCTTGCCTGAATAAGAATCTTAAGCCTGTTAGGAATAAAGGAAGTAGGCCTTTTACTATTCAGATTATGATTAGGATCCTCTTTAATTAATATGGTCCACTATGGACCATGGACCCTTATCCCTAAAACAAGCCCTAGCCCTATAAGGAATAGAATTAGTAAACCCATACCATTCAAGCCCTAACTAGGAGTCTTAAATATATAAATAGGGAACTTAGGAGGCACCTAAAATCCCCACCACAATAATCTCTCACCACCCAAAGAGTTCCAAGAATCCCCTTAGGAGAAATCAAGAAATCAAGAAAGCTTAAAGAAAGATCCTTAATAGCCAAGGAATTAATTAAGGCTCAGAGGTAACCCATGTCTCAACAAAACCTATTTTCATAGCTATGATTCCCCCTTAGGGTTTCCCCCATATTATTGTGTATTGGCGAGATATGATGATGATTATTGATGTTTGACGTGATGATCCCATGAGGGATCTTGATAATCTTGATATTGGGAGATTCTTGATGATTATATGGAGTTCTTGATGATTGTGTGTTGTTCTTGATAATTGTGTGATGCTCTTGATGTTTATGTGTTATTCTTACCGAATCTTGCAATTAGAAGACGAACCGTATTCTTGTTGATATAAAAGTGATCAGAACCCTAGGTTGTATCGTATGATCTTACTCATGGATTATCGGGTGGGGAAATCGCATGTTTGGGTGTTGATTATATTTAGAAAAGCATGATAGGTTATGTGTCGTTTGTTTCTTGTATTTGATTCGTTAATTGTCTACGTGTTGTCGTTAATTGCGTTGAAAAGTGTCTAAGCATGGTTTCGGGTTCCACAACAGTTCCCGGGGCGTAAAGTGTGTGAAAAGAGTCAGTGGGGGGTAGGGGACCCGCCACCTACCCACGGCCGTGAAACACCGCCGGGCAGTGGGTAGCCGGCGGGCGGGCAGCTGCCCGCTGGCGACCCGCTGTCCGGAATAGTAATTCCGGCGGGTAGCCGGCGGGTGGCCCCCCCACCCACCGGCTACCCGCTGGAAATTTCCCCACCTTGGGATCCCGGCTTCCCCGTTTGATGTTCCCCCGTTCCCAGTGGTGTCCCAACGGACTCCGTTTATCGTGCCTATGTCTAGTTTGATGTTTCGGGTACCGTTCGTAGGTTTATGAGTCTATTATATTGCATGGTAGTTGAATTGGTACCCCGTTGACCTAGGTGGTAGAAGTATGAATCCCTTAGGACTATTCTTAGTATGTGATGGATCACGCATAGGTTTTGTTATACGTTTTCTCCCCCTTCCTAATGTGTAATGTGGGTTGCATGTGCTTGCTATGTGTTATGTGTGTGTGTTACCCCAATTCGGTTGCGATCGGATTGGTTATCCTGAGCTGCAGTTCAGAAGCTGGCTGCGGTCAGATTGATACTCTTGGGCTGCGGTCCACCGTTTGGTTGCTATCAAACGTTTCTATACGAGCTGCGGTTCGTCCTTTTTCCTGGCTGCGGTCAGATGACATTCTCTTGGGCTGCGGTCCACTGTTTGGTTGCGATCAAACACTATGATGAGCTGCGGTTCATCGGTCGGTTGCGATCGACCCCTCCGTGTTGCGATACGGGGCAGGGTGCTGCGGGGCCGTGTCAGAGCTATATGCGCTGACCCTCATGTATGGGCATGCGATTGGTCCTGTGGAGCCAACAAAGTGTGTTATGTGAGGTGACATGGACGAGTTGTGATTACGAGTGTCTTAGGGGATGTGACTATGGGATTTATATTGGGGATTGTTCATGTTGGGTTATGATCATTGTTTATGCTTTGCCTTATCTGCCTTATCTGTTGTGAACTGCATATGCTCGTTATGACTGTTGCTTGTGTCTGGCCTTATCTGTCGAGTCATTCCCGGTTTTAAAGCTAGAGTTCGTAGGATATATCTTCATGCTCAAAATGGTTTTCGTATATCTATATATATCTCTATGTATATTGTATTTCAACGCGTTGGAGTAGGTTACCAGCATCTCTCGCTGAACAGATATATTTGGCTTTTAGGCACAAAAGATTAAGTCACTGGAGCGCGCTAGAACTTGGAGTGTTGAAGTAGATAGTTTTCCCTTTTGGCGTGCGTGCCACGTTTACGTAATTACGCTTTGAGGATATTAGTTAGTTAGCCTGTGCACTTGGGTGCTCTAGCCCAGGTGTGGCATTGTAATACCCACTATCTTGGAAATAAAAAATATACCTATGTTATTAAAATAGGTCAACAAGTCAAAGGTTATTAAAATTGATATTGGATGAATTTACTAAATTACCCCTCTTTACCCTTAAAGGTTAATGAACCACTTTGGTCTTGGATAAACATTTCATTTGAAAGAAGATAAGGGGAGCTAACTAGAGAGAGATAGGGGAAGGAAAAACCTTGGAGCTTTGATCTCCATCTTCTTCAAGCTTAGATCTCAAAGCTATTGGAGTATTCTAGGTAAGTTTGACCTCTATATTTCACTCTTTGAGTTGGGTTTATCACTTGAGCCCTAAGATTAATGTTTGAAAATATTAGGGATTTTGACAAGGAGTATTTGGGCGAGCTTAATAGCTAAAATTTGGATGTTTTTAGGTAAGTGATTAACTTTTCTCTCCTTATTTTGGAAAACCCCTAAATATTATGAAATAATCTCCACTACTTTGAATCCTCATTTTATGGTTAGTATGAGTTAAAAATATTTTGGACTATGATTATGTTTTGGGTCTGAAATGCTAAGCTGAATTCTGGATTGAAATTGTATTTGGGTTCGTTGGAATTGTGATTTCGGAATTTATTGTTAAGCTAAATAAATTCTGACTGATATAATCACCATGTGTAGAGACGGTAGAGTGGTTTTATGGCTGTTATGTAGGTAGTAGGGCGTGGGTTCGACTCCAACAGCTAGCATATTGTGTGTGTTTGTTTTATATCAATATGCCTTATAAAAATGGTTTGTTTGTTTAAAGTGAGACTTGAATCCTTAACCTCTTGTGTTCATTAACTTTAAGTTCTTTCCACCTAAGCCATTTCAATCCTTTTGAAATTACTTTGGTTTAAGAAACCATTCTATGATGTTTAAAGAGTTATGTACTAAGAAAATTATTATTTTGAGAATGGTTTATACCTTGCATATTTCTTAGTTTGATAAACTTATTACCTATTTTGGAAATATGAACTTTGTTATGTGATTTTAAGCAAATGATTTTTGCTACATCGGGCTATTTGATTATAAGAACTATTTTGATTATTTGATCAAACTCATGAGGCAACCTACATTTTGTTGTTTGTTTTGTTTGGCTTGGAATGTTCCTAATTGCTCATTCCGAATCGTCGAGCTTGACTCATTTTGAATCGTCGAGTCTTTCGAATTATTTGTTGGAACGTTCCATCCGGCTCATTCTGAATCGTCAAGCCTGACTCATTCCGAATCGTCGAGTCTTTTTGGACCATTATACCGATAATGGCATGTGCCACATAATATAATGGTGGTTGTAGGTTGCCAATGAGTTATATGTAAAGGAATGATTGGTGCTTTTGAAAGTATTGTATTATGACATAATATTGATGCTCATGTAGCTAAAGTTTTTCGTTTTGGGAATTTGTGTATAGTATGATGGAAGTATGTTATGATTTTGATATAATTTAAGGATTGAGTTTTGCATCTAGTTGTTACTCTAAAGCTTTTTGTATTATATTGGGGCTACTTGATCCGGGGTTGAGAGGAGTATCACTTACTGGGCATTAGCTCATTATTTGTATTTTTTCTCATGTTTCAGAGTAGTTAAGGACATGTGAATAGCACGAGCACAAGTGGTGGGGTCTCGAAGGTGACTTTTGAAACTTGGAGACTTAGTCCTAGTTTTGGAGCTTATCATGGATTTTTGTTTATTTAGACTTTCCCTTTGACCCTTTGTATTTTTGGTAGACCATTGTGCTTGGTTTTGGTGCTTGTGATGCATTTTGGACATACTACTCTTAATTATAAATATCTAATAGTGGATTTGATGAGTTTTTGGGAAGAACAAGTCGATTATATTTTGTAATTTTGGGTTGTGGAATTATTGTATATTCAAGAGTTATTATGAAGATTCTGAGAGGTATGTATGGTTAGGCTTCGTATTGTTACAGGTCTTCACGTAACGATACGGCCGTGTCATGTCCTAAAAGTGGGGCGTGACAGGCATAGCACCCCGTACGCTTGTATTTATTTCTTTGGATTTAATGAGATTCTACTCTTATTATAAGTTTTAAAAAGTCTTGAAAATCTGGGGTGTTACAATTGCTTCATTGGCTTTTCCAGCATTTTTGAGGGATTGAGACAGTTGGATATAGAACTCATTGAGTAGTCCTTTGACATTTGCATTCAAACCGCCAACTTGTCTCTCAAGTGCTTGATGTGTATCAATCAAGTGTTGTTGACTCCTTCGGTTTTCATCAAATGTAGATTCAAATTTACCTCCTTGTGTGTTGACAACAGGATCCACATGAGTGTAAATTCCTTGAATCATGCTCTCCATTCGGTCAACTAGGCTTAGTACAACACTTTCCAGATTTTTCAATTGATCATTTCAGGTAGTGCCATCAAGATTGTTCTTTTCTTAGGTTGCGGGAGGGTGCCTTGCTCCTTCTTGAGCAGAATTATCTCCAACCATGTGAGATTGTGCTTGATTTTCTAGCACATTTCTTTCTTCTTCTGGCGTGTGTTATTCTAACACGTGTGTGTCACCTTTTGACACTTGAGCATGCGTAGCATTTTCTCCTTCTTCGTGTCTAGTAAGCTCAATGGGTTGATCAAAATTATCAATATCAGCCAAAAAATCATCTCCAGTTGCCATGTTCTCTTGTGCTGTGTTGACATGAGAAGTATCGGCCAATTTTGCTTTCGGCTTACTTACAAATACTGCATTTACGGTTGAAATCAAGGTTGCATGGCCAATATCTACACTGCCGATCCATTTCAAGGAAAATGCTTCTTCTTCTTTCATACTTGGTCCTCTTGTCATCAATTCTTGATAAGAGCCAAGTCTCCAATTTTTCCAATTTAGAACTCTTTGATATTCATTCACCAAAATTGAATCAAGTCCATCAACTTGATAAATCTCCTCATTCAACACTGTTTCTAACACGGCTATCCGAGAGAAAGGGTTCATGACATTTTGGCTTGTGTTTGGTTCATGGTTTGAGGTAGGGTTGTGGCTTAAGGTGGGATTTTGGCTTGATGTAGGATTGTGGCTTGAATTTGGGTCGTGACTTGAGGTAGGATTTTCAAGAGGTTGGGGTGTGGGTTGAGGGTTTAAACCAAGGATTTCTGCTACTGGCCTTTTTCTAGTGGGGATGCCTCTCGGTTTTCTTTTTCTTTTGGGATTGGATTCAGTTGAGACCTCATGGTCTTTGAAGAGTATTCGGTTATTCCCAAATGGCTTTCTAGCCCTCATTGGTAATCCTTTTCTCTTGATAATCTCTCAAATAAGTAACCCAAAACCTAGAATGTGGTGGAACCTGCCATTCCTAATCTTTGCACCTTTCACAAAATGAGCAATCCGGCTCAATATAAGCTTGTTCCAGTCTCCCCTAACACCATTCATCATAGCGTGCAAATATCCAATTCTTGTAAGTGATATGTCCTCCATACTATTCAGTTTGCACATAAGACAATTGTAGATGATTTTTACTAGCATTTCATATTCTAGCTTCAAGTCAGATTTGTGACCGGAAAGGTTGGGTTCGAGAGATGCATTCTCATTTCGAATTTCTGCCCAAACTTCGGTGTGATGATATGCATGTATATCTAAGTCCAACAGTGGTTGTTCTGGACTTGATATAGGAATTCCAAAAGTTGAGTGTAACTCTTGTTCATCAATGGTGATGAGAGTTCCATTCACGGTGGACTCAATGGTCCAACCAACAACTTTGGCATTTACATAAAAATCTGCTACATCTTCATCATAACATCCAGAGTATGGATAGGAACATAACCTCATTAGCTCGCTACTTTGGAGTGCATGGATGATTCTTTGTGCTAGTTCGGAGTTCATGGCTTCCTTGAGAAATCTGTGGGGGTCAAAGCTTCCTCCGGCTTTGATTCCAACTGCTAGCTTGGTGAGATTGAGTTGTGTATGTTGTTCCTCATTAGGTTCAGATCTCGAATATCCAATGGTTGCCATAATGTATTTGGTATTTTGATTGCGATTGAGAGAGATGAAGCTTGAGAGTAATTCGGCTATGGAAGATGGAGAGTCTTGGAGGATTTTGAGTGGAAGAGGTGACTTTTCGACCGGTTGGGTGGAAAGGGGGTGACTTTACAAAAATATCCTCAAAATTTAATTTTTGACTTTAAGATGTGAGGGGTATTTTTGAGATTCCAAGGGTTTCCAACCTTTGACGTAACTGATAGTTAGTTTAGGTTATATATTCTCCATCCAATTTGTCTGCTGATGTGGCGCCAAAAATTTAGATACTCGGACTGATTTTACCTGAAATAAAATTCATAGAGCACTAAATCTGTTCTGAAAATAATATATGTATGTACATATATACACGTTTATGCAGTTGAGAGAAAGAGAGGGTTGATTCTTTTTAGAGAATTTATTGTATGCAACTACCATAAAAAGGTGTTCTCATTTAAGATGAAATCATCATCATACTATCTTGTCAACTCTTAAATGGTAAAGATTTTGTAAATCTAACCAAATTTTATTGTGTATATATATTGATACACGGTTCAAGATGCATGCATTATTTATATTTTATTAATCATGCAATTAATATAGATAGACATAAATACTAAGATGTGACATATTTTGCATGTGGGACTCATAGGCACGAAAATAAGTTAATTAAATCAGATAAAGTAACATATTTTCAGATGAAAAATTGAGCTTTTAATTTAAATAGAGTTAAGAAACTTAGCTCAATTCAATCATGCCCATCTCGTGTCTCAATTTCGAAAATCTTGATTCACACAAAGGCTTTGTGAGAATATCAGCTATTTGATTTTTGGTCGGGATGTATTCTATTGTCAATTCCTTCTTTTCAACATGATCCCGGATAAAATGATGTCTCACATCAATGTGTTTTGTTCTTGAATGTAACACGGGATTGTGTGTTATGGCAATAGCGCTTGTATTGTCACATAATATGTTGACATTTTCAAAATCCACGCCATAATCTCTCAGTTGTTGTTTCATCAAAAGAATTTGTGCACAACAACTCCCAGCAGCTATATATTCAGCTTCGGCTATGCTTGTAGCTATGGAGTTTTGCTTTTTGCTAAACCATGATACCAATCTTCCCCCTATGAACTGGCATGTCCCTGAGGTACTTTTTCGATCGATTTTACAACCTGCAAAATCTGCATCTAAGAAACCAGTTAGTGTAAAATTACCTTCTTTGGGATACCATAATCCCACATTGACTGTTCCTTTTAGGTATCGAATGATTTTCTTGGTGGCAAGAAAATGGCTTTCTTTTGGCTTTGACTGGAACCTAGCACATACTCCCACTGAATAAGATATATCTGGTCGGCTTGCAGTGAGGTATAGTAATGATCCAATCATTCCTCGATATTTCGTTTCGTCAACGTCCTTGCCTTCATCATCTTTATCCAATCTTAAAGATGTGCTCATCGGGATCTTAATTGAGGATTTTCCATCTTGACCGAATTTCTTTATCAGATCTTTTGTGTATTTGGCCTGATTGATGAATATTCCTTCGTTGAGTTGTTCAACTCTCCCATCATGTTCATCTCAAACTTATTCTGCATGAGCTTAGAAAATTTCTCACATAAAGTTTTATTAGTACTTCCAAAAATAATATCATCAACATAAATTTGTACCAATAAAATGTGATCATTTTCTTGAATTCTAAACAAGGTTTTATCAACAAGGCCTTTTGTGAAACCACAGTTAATTAAGAACGTTGATAAGGTGTCATACCAAGTTCTCGGTGCTTGTTTTAACCCATATAACACCTTCTTTAAGTAAGCCATTTAGGAATGCACTTTTCACGCCCATTTGGTAAACTATGAAATTCTTGTATGCGGCATATGCTAGAAATATTCTGATGGCTTCAAGTCTTGCAACAGGTGCAAATGTTTCATCAAAGTCTATTCATTCTTCTTGTGAATATCCTTTTGCCACTAATCTTGCTTTATTTCGAACAACAATCCCTTCTTCATTGGCTTTGTTTCGGAAGACCCATTTGGTTCCAATTACATTGTAATTTTCGGGTCTTGGAACTAATTCCCATACGTCATTTCTTTTAAATTGATCAAGCTCTTCTTGCATTGCACTAATCCAGTCTGGATCACTTAGAGCTTCTTCAATGCTTGTGGGCTCCACCTGAGAAAGAAAACAAGAAAATAAAGCATCTATATTTGAGGACCTTGTTTTTACTCCTTCTCGTGGATCTCCAATTACTAGCTATGGAGGGTGATTTTTGAGCCATCTCAAGTCAAGTTGTGGATTGCATGGACTTTCCACGTTTCCTTGCTCAGTAGGTAAGTTGGAGGTAGACACATTTTGCTTATCATATTGTTCTCCAACTTGTGCTTCTGCTTGAGAATGTAGATTTCCCACGTGTGGATTTTCATTTACTTCCACGTGACAATCAATGTCCAATTACTCCATACCCTGCTCAATATGATCACTTACACTTACTGGGTCTACTGGACCAAATAGATCCATGTGTAGTAGACTTAGCGGTTTTGTTGAAGATTCTTAAGCTTTGGATTTGAATGATGACTTGATTTGCTTTCCTCTTTGGCAAGCATCACATATTTGATCTTTCTTGTAAACAATATTGGGTAGACCTTCAACGA